ACAGGACCTGCCACTGTTGAACCCGTGTTGGTTGCCCCTAAGCATGATCTCCCCCGCTGGCCCCTCGTGGACATGCACCAGGATAACTCTCTCAAAAAGCTTGCCCAGGACTGAGGTAAGACTAACTGGCCTATAGTCTACTGGATTCTCCTTCCTCCCCTTTTTGAAAATGGGAACCACATTGGCCCTCTTCCAGTCCTCTGGCACCACACCAGAGCACCATGAGTGCTCGTACAGCCGTGCCAGGGGTCCCACAAGGACCGCAGCCAATTCCCTCAGCACTCGGGGGTGGAGATCATCCGGACCAGCTGATTTAAATACGTCCAGTCCCCCCAGAAGTTCCCTGACTAGGTCTTCTCTGACCCTAGGCCTGGGTGTGCCTTCCCTGGGGCCTGTGGGGGTCCCAGTGGGGGTCCCAGTGGGGGAGATGACCTGGTCCGTGCTCAGAAACATGTTGCAGCACAGGTGACATGCCACTCCAGTGGGACCTCAACTCAAAGTCTAGTCTCTTACGTTTGTGCATCTACAGTGAGATCTACACTGACTACTTCTCAGAGCTACTGGAAAAATAACCTTTGCTTTTTAGGATATTGGAGCACAATGGAAGTGCCTGCATTTGTGCTGAACAGGAATGCAAAAAAATAGACACAAATGGAAAATTAAGTTTGCAGTTTGACCTTTATAATACCCTGGTTTAAATTAGTTTGTGATGTAGAACACAGTGACTTTTTTTTTCCATTGCAATATATAATTATAAGACTTTTTTTCACCAAAGTTCTTTTTTCTCCAGTAGTGGTGGCAAGTTTTCTACGCTGCTTCAGAACCTAGGACCCGAGAATGCAGTGACGCTGCTCGTATTTGCTGTAACGGAACATAAAATTCTCATCCATTCCTTACGCCCTTCAGTCCTTACTAGTGTGACAGAGGCGTTAGTCTCCGTAAGTCGCGTTATCTCTTCTTTGTCATGCCTATACTAAAAAAAAAAAAAAAAAGGAAGAAGAAAGTTAGTCAGGTAAACTCTTTAATATTACTTAGGAATCCTATTACTTAGGAATTCAAAGTAAGGCTCATATTTTGCCGTCTGCGATACCCCTGGAGTTGCATGAATATAGTAGAAGGTGTTGACTTTTGCTTATTTATAGTATTTGTTTCAGCCATAATAATGCACTGAATGCAGGAACTTTAACATCCCTGAATATTCTCTGCTTCAACCTTCCACGTAGAAGTTTTGTAGATGCATGTTGGGTTTTTCTTCTGTCCTCACTGACCAGGGCTGCTGCTTCACCTGAGGAACAGGACAGTTTTGTTTTTATAAGCCAAACAAGCTAAAATTTTTAAAAGACAATTTTGCACATTGACAGCAACTATTACTTGGCTTTTATAATTTCAGCCACCTAAATCCTGTTCTGTCTTTCATGCTAGATTATTTTCCACATATTTAGAACATTTGAGCTTATCCTTTCTCTTTGTCATGTTTATATATATTTAAGCTACATTTATTTGGCTTTTTTTAAAGATGATATTTCCTTTCCACTGGCCATGTCCGTACATTCCACTTTGCCCCTTGGCATTGGCAGATGTGTTAAGCGCACCATGTCCATTCATAGTAGGAATTGATTCAAGATACTTTGACCTCTATGACCCTCCACCAGATGTTAGCTGTGTGGACTTAGATACCAACACCATTTCTCAGTAAGTATGCACGAATGATTCTTCTGTACAATAGTGTTTGCTTTCATACTTCTTATGACAACACGTTATATTTTTCATTTAAGTGTCTTTACACCTTATGTACCTGTTGTGTAATAGCATCTCAACAATCTTTCTTCTGTGACATGTCTGTCAGAAACAGTAGCTCATTGGTATTTGTGCAGTACAGCACAATGGAGGTAGAGCCCTCATTAATCACCACCATCACTCTATACACTTTTTTTAAGACTGAAAGGTTCTTGCTTGCATTGGCATGTTTGCTAGATTGCTTGTGCTTGCTGCCAATCTTGCTGCTTCCACAGGGGAAAGGAGATATTTCTCCTTTTATTAGGTAGTCTTCTCAGTAACAGACGTTTTCCCTGTAAAGGTCTCGAGCAATTTTAGCCTCCTGAGACAAGGAGTTGTTGGAAAAACTAGAGAATCAAACTGACACCCTGAATTTTGAGAATAATTATAAATCACATTAGAAATGAGAACTTTCAAGGAGGACAGTGTGTCAAATTAAAGATTTAGAGCCAGTCCATCGATAATGAGCAATGGTTCTATCCTGCCAGCGGAGTAGCAATTATGGTTTGGATGAGGGAATACCACTTTTACTAACAGATTATCTGAATTACCAGAATCGAGCAGGCAGATAGGATCTTATCCTGACTTCAGTTATGCTGTTATTGTTGTGGCAATGCCTGGAGGTGCCAACTAGGATTTGAGTCTAGTAGTGTTAAACTCCGTAGCGGCATATACTAAGAGACAGAAACCCTTCCGAAACACCTGCATTCTACATACAGAAAAGAAATAAAAGGTGGGAGAAGAAATGGTTCATCCAGGCTTGCAGAGCAGGCTAGTGGCTGTGTCCGCAGCAGAAACCAGAGCCACATGGAGGTGTTGTGATTCTGTCAGGATAATTGCCACTGCTTCAGTTGAAACTAGGAGTATAAAAGCATTTATTCAGTTTTTCTTGAGAAAAAAGATCTTCTAGGCTGACAAGTGGAAGATTTCTTTTGCAAGAGAGTATCTGGTCTGCTCCAGGAGGGGAGCAGCTGCCCACTGCTCCCCACCTGTTCCTCAAACTGGAGGCTGCCAAGTCTGGGAAATGGGTTGGGGGCTTTGCCCTGCTACTCCTATACCCCAAAACCAAGAGGAGAGTGAAGGAGACCTGGTCCCTTGTCTATGGGAGGGAGAAGAGTGATGGAGAAAGACTCCTTGCCTGTTCCCCAGACAGGGCAGGGGAAGGTGTGATAAGCCAGGGGAGAGGGGGTGGTTTCAGGCTGAATGCCTGTGCTGCTGCCTCTCCTGAAAAGTTTTCTAGTGGTGGAAATTTCTTAAAGTGGGCTAGGAATAGGTATTCATTTCTTTGAAGTTTCCACCCCTAGAAATGAATGCCTGTTCACAGCCCATACCTGCCTCCCAGACCAGGACCCTGAATCATGGTTTCCTGTTGCAGTAAGGTTAATGCACTGATTTCTTTTTTTCTTCACTTACACATTCTTGTACGTACAGGTGGACTCCTCAGGAATTCCACCAGTTGGCTTTGGAATAAGGATATTAACATATGATCACATCATATTTAGCATGCAACCTGAATGCACAATGCAGATATTAAACTAATCAGCCCAGCACTGTTGTAAGGCAGATGGTATTATCCTAGTTCTTCAGATAGCATCCTGAGAAACAGAATAAGTGGTTTGCTTAAGGCTACCTGGTTAATCAGAGGAAGAGCTAACATTTGGCCTTTTGCTCCTACCTTGGAGTACTCCATTCAGGTGATTGGAGGCAATGTGACTTAATGGGGAAAAAAAGCTTCAAATGAAGAAAATAATCTGAAGTAAAGAACCAAGAAAATAGAATAAATCTCAGCTACAAATCAGTGTGTGCTATTACTGTCATAAGCTGTAAAACTATCATTGTGTATAACAGTGTTGCTTCTTTTTGGCTTCTGTGTATAATAAAAATGAGGTTGATGCCATTTAGAAGAAACGAACAAACGTTTCCATTCCTACAGTAATTGTCAAAAATATACATACTTGTTCAATAAAGTAGCTGGCATTAACTTCAACATTTTTAAACACGGAATGAAGCCTTCTATCTTCCTCCCAAATACATTCAGTTCCTGAATCAATTCTGGTTACTTCTAGGGTTCCTTAAAAGGCTTTCGAGTTCAAGATAGCAACAGATTCCTAAGATAGTCGGAAGCCAGCTATTGAAGAGGTTTAAGTGGTAGCAGTGCAGCTTTAAAGCCATTAGGGAACAAGCCTGGCAGCCAAGATGCAGTAAGTTCTGCAGCACAAGGAGAACAATTCAAACATAGCTTATTTCTGGCAGATTTGCCTAAAGGGAAGAATTGGTAAACAGGTTGAAACTGCAAGAATACAGATCAATTGTTCCAGTCCTTAAGTTGATGATTCTGATTTATTCTTCTGAAATCCTGATGTAAAGAACATTGGTGTAGGCCTGGCTTCATAGGCTAGGGTTTTATGGAAGAAGAATTGAGGAGTGTGAGGCATCCCCCGCAGAATATCTCAGAGTAGATGTTTGTAGTTGGCAAGACTAGCTGCATACAAAGTATAAGGTGAATACTCTCTCTGGTGTTGAATCTGATATAGGCATTTTCAGCCAGTGGGGCTCAAATAAGCTATTTAGAGAAGCATTTTGGGTTGTGCTGCAACAAATGGATCAGCGTAGCAGTTGTATAAAGCAGGAAAACTGTCTTTTATATACACTAGCTATAGTGTTTGTATTGGAGAAAATTAGGCCTTGTACACTGTTCTTGAACAATCCTGATATGCCCACAGCTCTGTTGAAGCACTGTTCTTCTAAATACAAAATTTCAGTTAGGTGATTCAGAGTTATTCTTGTAGGCCCTACAGGACTTCTGTTTGCTTTGTAAAATGTTATATATAATCCTAATGTAAAATGCCCAAATTCCAGAATCCATTAAGTGTGTATATAGCTGATAATTTTTTCAGAGAAGTCTTTTCTATACTAAAACAGTATAACTGAATTCTGTTTTGCATGGGCATCTTATAGATAGCGTATTTTAAGCCATCGGCACTTATTTTTTTTTAACTTAAGTTGCGGTGGGGAGGTCTGTGGTGTGATCCTTTTTCCAGTAGGGTTGGAGTGTTGTTGCAGCTGTGATTGGTCAAGAAATATATAAAATTGCGGGGGGGGAGGTGTCTTATAAAAATACTTGTCTTCTGTAATCCTTTTTCCATGCTTTTACTGTTCGTTTGTTTCTTAATTTTTATTTTTGAATGCTTTATTTTTAGGAAAGTAATCTGTGGAATTATGGCCACAGTTTTGCATATTTGATTTTTAAAAACCTTGATAGTGATTTGCTAAAAGAAGCTGTATTAAGACACCTCTACCTATTTCAGACTTCATACAGCTCTTGGATTGCAGTTCTTGGCAGTGAGTTGGGGGTGGGCTATGATCATGAGTGGGGATTATTTAAGGGGTAGAAGAGTTGCAGAAGCATCCTTTCTTAGCCATTGCTGCCTGTGTCAGTACTTTCAGTTGCCCCTGCTTTTACTTTCTTGCTCATTGATTCAGCTTCTTTTATAATCCTTACCTTTGTTGCAGTCTTCCTGCTGCTTCTATCAATGACAGGCTTCAGATGCCTTTTCTCGAAGCATATGAACACTGTATATGTACGTAAAATTATTTTTAAAAAGCAGGTGACAAACATGAGATGTTTGCTCTTTTGTGGCTTTAAGGTCTCAAAGGCTTGCTACTGCCCTCTGCTGACAATGGGAGAGCGTAACTTTTTATCACCTTCTGTTGCTCAGGGTCAGATCCAGGCAAGTGGGATTCACACCAGTTATTGCTTTATTCAGCTCATTGCTTAAGTTTCAATCATCTCCCCCTTCCTGATTTTAAGTAACTACGGTTTAGGAAGTACCTCTGTGTAGCTGCTATATTTTATAGTATTTAGGCCTGTATTGTTCTGTGCAGCAAAATCATTCTTAAACTCTGTTGGACAGAAACTTGATAAATATTGAACATAAAAACTATGTGTAACACCACAGGGTTGTGGCTGCTGAAAGGGCATAGCAGTCCAGCTGTGTGTTTTATCCTGGCTTATAGTCTCAGTCTTTGCAATACCTGGCTTGAGATATTTTTTTTTAAATCTGTTGCATACCATTAGCACGTAATTCAGAGGTGCAGAATACTGAGGTGTTGAAGGTCGTCTCTCAGCAAACGTATGTAGTCTCTGCTCATAATGTGGTAGAAGATGAAAAGCATTCACATCATTTCCTTGAGATCTAAATGTTTCTGTTTCATAAAGTATGACTTCTCCCAGCACTAATGGAGGATGACTTGTGGAGTCATTGTCTGAATATATGGGTAACCAGCTGGATGCGAATGTTACTGCATCTCCATACAGTAAATGTTTGCTTTTTTCCCTCCCATGCTCAAAAGAACATTCTCTATATAGCAGATTCTGTGTGCTTAACAATTGTTAAATAAATAACATGCATACATGCAAAAATGTATATTCCTCTGAGTCTCATCCACTTTAGAAGCCTGTGTTCCAATAAATATTCATACTCGTCTTTTTCCCTTTCTAGAACTGGAGATAAAAAAACTGTTGCCTGGAAGATCTTACCAAAGAAACCATGCAAAAATCTGATGAACACTTTAAATAACTTGTATCAACAGCTGGCAGAATGTGAGTAAGGGATGTATACAAAACAATTTGCCTCAACCCTTTGTGTACTGCAGCCACTGTTGACAGAGTAGTTTTTTAATAGAGTACATTCCCCTCCCCTTCCCTGTCCCCTGG